TCTGGCACACTTAGATCTTGCTGTCTTCTTCTGAGACAGACCTCCATCAAACCTAACTCATTACTTCAGCAATCAGTCTAAACATAGCAGTCTTGATTCTACCATCAGTTATACCACATTTAGTCTCATAGCAAAATGTTAGGAGGCTAAAAACATAGTCACACATTGGTTTTCATTGTACTGGGTCACTTTTGTATTTGGGAGACTGTGAGATGATCAGCTGCTCCTGACGTGGAGAGATGGGCAATTTGAGCAACATGATACAACTATTGAGGAAGGAGAGGCAGTGGGGAAGCAGAAGACCCAATCCTGTGTATTAGGGTGTGGTGCTCAGTCACCATGCAGAGAGGCAAGTGTCTGTAACATCCGAGAAACAAAGGAATCTTGTTTGTTTGGGAAGGAAATAAAGTTAACTGGTTCTGTGCCTTTGTGAACTGTGATGGAAACATACTTTAAATGATGTACGTAGGGTACAGTTCTTGATTCTTCCATTGATGTTATGAGGCTGGATGAAGGAAAGTGGAAGTAGTGGGTCAAAAGCCTGGTACAGCTCCAACGGGGATGGAGTTGAAAGTTGGGACCTCTTCTTCTCTAGCAGATTTTTCTCTCTGACATCAAGAGGGGGGTGCATATCTATCAGGTAGGCTTGATAGTAGTTGCATACTGCCTTTTCCATATTCCTTTAATGAGAACCTGTGAGAAAGTCATAGGCTTTGTAGAATATAAAGGTAGCTGCTGAGAAACTGGCTGTGTTTTTCTTAGGGGTTCAGAATCAGCAGTGGTAGACAGAAATGCATCACCTTACCTCACTTCTCATCAAAACTTCTGTGAGGTTATTTCAGATGTAATTTATGAAAAGCTGAGGAGTAGGTACCCCTCCACTGAACCTCTATAGGTTGTATCCCACTGTTTGACAAGTAGTGTGGTAAAGCATTTCTCTGTACAAGGTCAGATTAATCTTTTTTTATGGAGTTTCACATGAATGCTTTGCTTTGGAGTTGTTTCTCCATGCATAAATCTTTATTATACCAACAGCCTACAGCCCCAGTGAACCAAAAAAACCTAATTTTTATTCTTCTCTGTGTTTATCACCACAGTGAGAGAACTCAATTGAAAAGGAGCTGTGAGAGTTTCCAGCAAGTGTGGTGGGGGTTTGGGTGCTGCGAGCCTTCAGTGGATTTATGTTCCTTCCTTTTAAATTTGAATGGTATGTGCCAAGCTGGTTCTGGCCACAGATTGTGCATCATTCCCTTTGGAATGACACTAAGGATTGAACTGAAAATGAACTTTTGTTGGAAGGTGCTGTGGGAATAGAGGAACAGGTTGTGCATATGACCATGCATGCACTTTAGTATGGTGAGTCAGAAAATGTGCTGAAGTGTGCAGGCTGTGCTTTGCAGCCAGCTCAGTCTGAAGCTTTGATTTCTACTTGGCGATGAGTTGATTTGAGTTCAGGTGTGGTTCTTCTTTAGAGGGGGAAGACACGTGTGCTGACATGTAGGTGCTTGTGACTTTTACCAGATGATGAATTTTAACCCTACAGCTTAAAGTTGACCTCACATAATTTACCTTTGTAATAAAAGATACAGTGCCGGTCTCTAGTGTCTGCACACAGGGGGATTGCTAATGCATATTAGTTATCTGTGATATAACTGCATGGGCTTTGTCAATGAATGCAAATGGTAAGAAAGATAAAACTAGATGTTTTATATCAAACCAATTTTTTTTTTAAATGGAGATAAAGGATAATCCTACTTATCTAGGTTTTGGCTTTCTGAACAGTGTACATTAGTTTTGGTTCACTGTATGACTTCCAAAATCTGCAGTGCATGAAACCAAATTGCCCGCTTGGAGGAACCTCTGAGGAAAAGACTTAGACATGATACATAACCTTCACTGAGAGGAGTTTTATTCTCATATTTACTAAATTTTGAGTGCTCGACTCTGCAATTTTAGCACCTTCTATGATGACAATGTCATACCTATTTCTCTCGTATGAACTAAGGCAGGAGCACCATCATGGTTTTGCCAGAAGGTCCACCCTCCTTTTGCTGGTGAACACACCAGCATGGCTGGCAACAGCAGCTGCCTGCTCCAGTCTGAAGATGAGGTGGTTTTAACAGAGTTAGTGTTGCAGGGGAAAACACTCTTGAGTTGTGAAACTTCACTTACTTTATTGTGAATTAGGATAAACTTTTAATTGCTGTTCCTGGTATTGAGAAATAATGACACATCCCCTTGCCAGTCTCCAGTTCACTTGCTGTACATGTCATGTCCTCAGTCATGAGAGTCAGTGCAGTGGTCTTTCCTTTTTCTACCACTCCTTGTTTCTTGCTTTTTTTTCCCCTGGCTCCAGCACAGGGTCCTCCCCATGCCATCATCCTCTCAAAGGCCTTGCCCCTCCTGGGCATGTGTGCAGGTGTCCTCTGCCTCTGCCTTGCCACTGTCTCTGGTGTCTCCTGCCTCAATTGACTGCTGCCTCTCTAAAACTGCTAGCCAGATCATATCCTAAGACAAACCATTCTCCATCTGCTGTTAAAAATGTTCTTCCTTAAGCTCCCCTTTCTCCTGCAAAGCCATTCCCTGGCTTCATCTGTACTTTCCCCATGCTGCTGAGTGCAGAGGAGGGAGGAAAAGCTTTCTTGAGAGCAAAGGAAAAACAGGTGCCTGAATTTTATTCCAGTTCCTGGACATACCCAATGTTTCAGGTCATGTCCTGTGAAGCGGGACTGGAGGCTTTTGGCTCTGGGGAGATGGCAGAAAGGCATCACGGGTGAGCGTGGGCACCACAGGAGCAGAAAAGAGTCTCTGTGGGATGGTTTGTGGGTTGTGGTCATGCGTGAGCATGTGATTGTACACTTAGCAGGTTTTAGCTGCTGAGCCCTCTCATCTCTACTGGATGTGTGAAATGCAGTTTTTTGAAGGGTAATAACTTTCCCACAAAAATGCACTCATAGTTGGGTAAGACAAAAGGCATGTGCCTGAAATGGAGCCATACTGGTTTGGGTCCCTGCTCTAAACAGTGCGGTATGACAGGATTGCAAATTAAATCACCAGAAATTTAACCTGGGCAGAATAACATACTTTGCCCTGCTTCATTCTTAAAAGTAATTGAAGTTCTATTTTTGATATTCTTTCAAAAGCTTTTATCCTTTAGACAGAAACAAGTGCAGAATATATAAACACAGACAATTACGGTTTTGCAAAATGATAAGCTGATGAAATTGAGATCCTGTGGTAGGAAATGCTGATCACTGTTAATAATTGGTATCAGCCCTTCCTTTGTTCTAGAAATTGTCTGCTGCAATCCTAGCTATGCCTGGGAATTTCACAGGGAGAGAGTGGTGTTCACATGCACATTTTGGAAAAGCAATGCTTTACAGATGAGCAAAAAAGTGCTCTGCAGCCAAATGAATAGAGCAAAGTATCTGTGCATATTTGCAGAGAGTGATGTGCTTTGTCCTATTTCATTTAATGCTATGCAGAAGACTAAAATTGTAAAAAGTAAGCAAGCTGCACCAAGATTGGTTTGCAAAGCCATACAGAAGGTCAGTGTTGGTTGGTAATGACATGGAAATCAGCTTGGATCATGAGCATAAATGGGTTCTGTGATTCAAAACTGGGCAGTAATAGGATCCAGTATTAGGGTCAGGCAGGTGTGAAAATACTGGTGATGAAGATTTGAAAATAAATAATTTAAGATTCACAGGGCAAAATGCAAGGATTTCTGTAGACACAGTAATTCTACGAGAGGAGAAAAGTATTTTCCCCTTCTTGACCTTTTGCCCTCCATTCAGTCACAGAAATCCATAGGTTCAAAGGTTTGGGTTTGACTTACCAGGCAGTGCAGAAATTCTGATAAAGGCTTAGTAGCTATTAAACTTTCATAAGTTTGCAACCTTTTGGTTGAAGCTAAAGAGACAGTAGCTGTTTTTTTTCTCATGGGGATGAGATTCTAATTAAGTCAGTGTTGCTCAGTATTAGAATTCCAACCTGCTAACAGGCTGCTAAGTGTGTGGAGTTTGTGTTATAGGGAGCAGGACCTTTGCCTGAGCCTAAAAAATTTCCAAAACTACTCTTTCCTTTACCTATCTTTGCAAAACTCAGTTTCATTTATATGCTCTGATAGCATTCATTCTAAAGTCCTATGCAACTATTGTGTTGATGCTGCTGCAGACCCATCCAGCATCTTGACAAAATGCAGAGGATATGGTTTTCCAGAAGTGTTTGGCATTGCCAACAGTTTCTCTCACTGAAGTCGATCAAAGCTGAGGGCTTTAGAGAATCTACCTGAAATCCCTACGTTAAAAGTTTTTTATCCACTCCTTTGAGCTTTTGACTACTGGGTTTTAGACAGTTCCATGGCTAATAAGAAAAGGTGGTGGACTGACTTTGCTTTGATGTCTTCAGTACAAATCAGCCCCTTTCAACTGAAACTCATGGGTGATTTGTGTAGCTACCTGAAACTGCTTCTAAGGCTACTTGGTATACTTTTCACTTCTCTCACAATTCCCATTGAAAGGAGCTATGACTTCATGAGTTATGGCCCAGGCTACCTTCTCTTGCAATGGGAAGTTGAAGCTGTGGATTTCACTGGTAACATTGGATATCACTGAGTATCATTGGATATCTCACTGGTAGCACTGACGATATTCAATGGGGAAAAAAAAAGAAAACCTAGTGTGGGAAGAGTCCTCAAGTATTGCTGTCAAACACAGCACTGGCTTGCTCTTTGTGGGGTTTTAGGCTGTCCCACTGAAACCAGTGGTATAAATGAGCCATATGTATGCACAGATCCCATCATGTTTCCTGACTACTATTTTATCTGCTTTCTCAGTTGCATTATGTTGCAGCGGATTTGTATCTTGCTGCCTATATGACTCCCACTCCCCAGTCTGCATGATCTGCTGAATGTACTTACTGTGCATCCAGAAAGAGCTGAAATAGATGTTGATGGCTTTTGCTTTTGTTTTATCCCCTGTCCCTTCTTCTCTTGACAGTTTTTTATCATGCTGTTAATTATATTTCTGTTGGAGCTCACTGTTGTGATTCTGTTCTTCGTCTACACCGACAAGGTAAGTCAAATTCTTCATTTTTCTTTCCCCTTCAGCAAATTTATATGCCCCTTTTCCCTATAAATAAATCATGAAGCACTTGTCTTGGTATGCACATCATGCTTCTGTCTTCCTTGAGACACTCCTCTCAGAAGGGGCTCTCTCAGAATGCATAAACAGCCTTGCAGGACTGGGCTGTCTTGCTTGCTCATGTGTACAACTCAAGGTCACAGAGACTGCCAAGTGCATCTGTCATTAACAAAAAACAAAACAAACACCAAAACCCCCACAAAAAGTAAAAGAAGTGAATGAACCTCACTAAGAGCATGTAGGAAGAGACACCCATCAGAATGAATAGGATTTTTAAAAAATGTGTACAATTTAAAAGCCACATTGATGTTGTTACAAAGGAGGTGTCCTTAGCACAGCCAAATGCACAAAATTCATTATCTTTTGACATTGATTCTTACAACACATGTGTACTTAGAATCTAATGGAAAGCCAAGGTAAATATATAAAAGTTCAATAAACAAAGCTTTTGTCTGTGGTTTCAAATTTTACTTATGTTTGACTGTTGTTCCTTCTGTTGTAAGGGCAGTATTGGCTATCTGAATTATCTGTATCCTTAAAATATTTTTTCTTTAAAATATTTTACATTAATAAATCCAAAACAAGGGTATAATTCTGTGCAACCTGCCTATTCAATCAAAATTGTCAAATACTAAGGGAGCTTGAAAATCACTGACTAGGTGGCAAAATTTTGCCATTAATTAACAACCATCAGGTGCATGACCAATAAATGCCCTCTTCTGGAATGGAAAGGCAAAATAGCAAATTAAAAAAAAATATCAAAAAATGACAAACAAACAAACAAAACCCCTTCACAAAATATCAAAATAAAATAAAGGTTAACAGTAGACCTAGTTATATTCAGTATGTTTAGCAATAACCTGGATTAGGAGTGGATAAGATGTCAACATTACTTTCTAGAAAGGTTCCAGATTTATTAATGAGCACTGTGAGTGATTGTCAGGTGAACTTCTGAAGGACTGAAGAGAGCTAGGTTGCCGGACAACATCCTGTAACTGGAACATGGAATTAACTTGCAAGGTAATTACAGTAGAAGGGACAATATAAAATTACTTGTATGCATCATTGGATTCTGAATTACTTGTCATCTCATGGAAGAAAGATCTACATGTCATACATGAATAAAGGCATCTACTTGATATGCAGTGGGCCTCCAAAACCCAAACACAACACTTGGTTATAATGAGAGAGGGAATCAGTCAGAAAATATTATCATGTCGTTGTATAAATTGATGGACTTGCCTCACTGTGAATGTAATATTGAGTTTTGGTTACGGAAACTATTAGAAGTGCTAGAAAGGTGGGAGAGAGAAGTCATGAAGAGGGATTATGGAGACGACCTAGATTTAGTCTGGGAAAGAGATCCTCTGCTTAGAAGGTCTTAAGAGGAGAAATTCTAGTAGTGTCTAAAATAATGACAGACCTAAAATAAAGACCTGACCTGAACACAGAAGAAATATATGAAAATATTAAGGATTAGGTTTATAAGATAAATATGTGTTGTGCTCCACATCATCATCTTGTAGAATTCCCTGGTTTTGGCTGGTGTTGAGACTGATAGTTCAATAAATGTGTGGGTATGGAGGAAAGAAAAAAAAGCAATGAAGTATTTTTATTCATAAAGCAGTCAGTTCTGTCAGCTTGACAAGTGTGTCACAGGGAATGTTCGTCCTCACTCTTCAGAGATAAAAAACAGTGAAAAAGTATCAGGAGGGATTCCTTCCCTCCTTCAGCCTGGTGGTTTGCAGTGGGTTTTTTTGTTTTTTAATAAAGAGATCAGGAAATTAACTTTCCTCTGAGTCACGTACTGTAGGTTGATGCAGGAGGTACACTGCAGTTGTAAGATCAAAACAGAGTCTAAAATATGGGCTCCATATACCTGCAGTTTTACTGAGTTAACAAATTGCTGTAGTCTGTGTATTTATTGCAGATGATCAAATTTGAAGATGTTAATGTTACTGTATGATTTAAATCTTCTACTGAAGAAATCAATAGCTTGTGTTACACTTACAGTCCTGCCTACAGAATAAATAAAACAGCAGCAACCTAAAACTAATATTTTCATACAGCATGTTTAGAATTTGTGTGCTGGCTTTCCTGATGTGAGGAACGGTATTGCCATGTGTATGGGGAAGTACCTAACTCAAACAAGTCCACCACAGTAATTCAGTTAATGTGGTTCCTTGGAAAATCAGTGAAGGAACAATTTACACTAACACTTGCCCATCAGAAGACAGTGATGTTAATTTTGTGTGCAAATGGAGAAAAGGACTCTGCAGATTATGACTTTGAGGGCCTCTGTATAAGTCATTTTAGATGTAGATAGATACAGATATATATTTGTTGTCAGTTTTTTCAAGTACCTTGTAGCTTTCTGTTAGTCAAGAGTGTATGTACATGTAAAATTCTTCCCAGGATAAAATGGGGGCCAATTGTTATTTTCTGTTTCTGGTTGAGAAGAGATTGAATAATGGATTCCCTTGCAGTTTTTATTTACTCCTGCTTTATCAAGTGGAGGAACTTTGGAGCGGATACTTTGTTCCTTGCTGCTACAAAGTTTAATCAATACTCTCCTCTTTCCTTGGAGTAGGCAGTGCTATGGCCCTATTTAGGTGTAGGGGCAGGTGCTGAGAGAGTTTCCTGAGACTCTGCAGGAAGCTGATTCTAAATTTAGAGCTGTTCATGTTTTGGCTGCTGCTGAGGGATTGGAGAGGCTGAGCTGTGCCATGGCAGGGCTGGGTATTGCAGATGACTCAGTAGCACTTGTCTGGTGAATGGTGTCCCTTTTGTTCCTTCTGCTGTAGAATGGGCACAGCCACAGGCTGGTGCTCCCACGGCAATATCAGCCGCGAGGTGGGTGTGCATCCGTGTGAATGTGGCACTGCAGGGGTTCCTGAGCTGTGAAACAGTGTCTGTATCCACTGCTGGGACTGTTGCTTTAGTAGTGTGTTGGTTATTACAAATAATGACAAAAGTTCTTTACAGCCATTCATGAAGAGGTTTTTGGCACAGCACTTTTGTTCTTTTACAGTCGAAGGATGTGCAGCTGTAGAGGTGAACAGGACAGGCTCCTGAGACTCATCTGTTCTCATTCATCAACCCGGGAGAAACAAAAAAAATTACCTCCGCCTCTCATTCTAGTGACTTGATAGCAGCTTCTCTGAGCTCTGAAGCAGCCAACTTGTTCTCATGCCCTAGAATGTCTTTTCTTGATGGACAAATGTTTATCTTGATCTCATGAGATAAATGGCACCCTGAAGTCTACAACTCTTTCTCTGAACTAGCTATGCAGTCTGATATTTTAAAGAGAGGGACTTGGAGAAAGCTCAGGAATCAACAGTGTAGGAAGGAAAAGCTGTAATGCCTTGCTTCTTGAAGCTGCACTGTGGATCTCTTTAGCAGGGCCTGAGTTTACACCTTGTTCACTATTCCTTCAACTATCCTGACTAGTCAGGTTGGAAAATACAAGTCTCTTGACTTCTGCAGAAGTGAATGTGGGCTGTGATGAAATGCATTCTTGTGGGAAGGTTGTCAGGAAAACATATAGGCCTTTTATGTTGTCCTAACTGTTTCCAAAGCAGCAGAGTGACGGGTTCGTGGGTGTCCTGGTTTGAAACCCCTAAAATCCAATTCCTGAGGCCAAGCCGCCCTCCCACATCTCACCCCGGTGTGAGATGGGTTTTCCAGACAGAACACAAGACTCAATATGGGGGGAAGGGAATTCTATTACAATCACTGTACAAATAAATATTACAATACATCATATACATAATCTTAACTATCTCTCCTATGATAAATCAGTATTCACAATGGATCAATCTCTTCTCCCTCCAATAAAAGTCCAGAAGGGAAAAGGAGAGATCCTTTCCACTCTCAGGGCAGCAGCCTCTCTTTTTCCATGCAGCAGCTGTAACTGGATTGTTGTAGCTGGATCTCTTCCGTTACACACAAGGGGGTTCTCCTCTACCCCTCTTGGCTCTTCGACTCCAATCGAAGGTCTCTCTCTCTCTTCCATGGGCTGCGTAGCAGGGACAGAACTCGCTTCACCACGTCATATCATGGGGTGTAAGACCCCCATGAAGGTCCCCTTCCTCAGGGGATTCAAGCTCCCTTGAGTCAGAACGTCTCAGGCAGCTTTTGGTTGAAAGCCTTTGCCTCAGCCGTTCTATCAGAGCTCCTGTGCTCTGTCTCAGCTGCTGCCAGCCTGGCAGCCACATTCCATCTGGCCATCCCGGTCCAGCTCTGGGACATCTGAGCTTCTTAGCTCCTCTCTCTCTCCGGTGCATGCTGCACTCCAAGACTCCTCTCAAAGAGGAGTCCATCTCCTCCTCCTCTCTAGGAGGTCTCAGAGGGGTTTGGGGAGTTTATTACAGTTCTTACCCCAAATTCTCTCTCTCTGTAGAGCTTAGTCCTGCTCTGTCTCTCTCCATTAGAGATCTCTGTGTCTTCCTGCTTGGATGCAGGCCGTCTCTGCTGCATCTTATCTCTTCTGACTCTCTGCCACTGGTCTCCATCAGTGCTGGTTTTGCCGCTGCTCCTTCTGCCCACTCACGGTGCAGAAAACTACGAGCTTCTCAGTTACAGACCTCAGTCCAGTTTAACACTGATTCTGAGTTTCTGTGATCGCCAGCCAGGGGCTGGGGGGCCGTGGCCCCCCAGAGGGGCTCCTGCCCCTTCTCCTCGTGGCTTTAGAACATGGCCACTCTTCTCCAACAACTACAACATCACCCTTCTTTTCTGATCTGCTTGTGATATGTTTATATTTTGCAGGAGCGCTCATTGGGTCCACATCAAGTGACACCACCCCCTCGGGAGTTACCATTTTTTAACTCCAGGGGGGAAACTTTTTTTACCCCACCACAATGGGTTGTCTTCAGCAAAAAGTAGCACCCAAGAAACTGGGAAGCTCCTATTGGTGTTTGTGCATGTTC